CCTGTCTACTGCAAGTTGGTGAACTGTAGTAAGGAGAAGGCGGCAGTCGAGGGCAGCCGGGTGATAGCTCGCATGATTGCACTCAATGTTCGCGACAAGCCGGCTTTCGATTCGCTGTTTGACATCGCCCCCTCCGCTGCCGACCAACCCCTGCCTCCCCGTGGACCGCGCGCCCCGAGCCCGTCCCCACCTAATGGGGCATCCGTGCCGCGTGTTCGCGTAGAGGACGCCAACCTGGGGACGCTGGGGTCGCTCAAGAAGCATCAACTCGTCAACGTTCTCGCAGCGTTCATCGAGGACGGCCTGTTTCCGATCGACCCGAAACGAGTGCCGGCCTGCATGAACGGTGAGCTTGAGCTTCCTCTGATCAACGAGTTTTGCACACCTTTCGCAGCCAAGCAACGGCGTTTTTCTCCGGAAGAACGACGCATGATCAGGGCAGAGATTCAGCAGTTGGTAGACCGAGGAGTGATCCGTCAATCCATGTCTCCTTGGGCTGCCCAGTGCTTGTGCGTCAAGAAGAAGGATGGTACGCTGCGACTGTGCATCGACTGGCGTGAACTCAACAAACTCTTGGTCTCCGATAGTGGGGGTTTGGGTGACATGCAGACGATATTCGACGGGTTGAAGGGCAAGAAGTATTTCACTCAGCTAGACCTCGCCTCCGGTTTTCACCAGATGGAAATTGCCGAGAAAGACCGTTACAAGACGGCCTTTCGAGATGCGGATGGAATGCTTTGGGAATTTACGCGCGCGGGTTTCGGCCTGACGGTGCTTCCGGCGGCCTTTACTCGTAGAGTGAAATCGGCTCTGGGGCATCTAGCAGGCGTGTTTAGCTGGCTTGACGACATTCTCATCGCTAGCGACTCATGGGAAGAACATCTCGCCACTCTGACGCTCGTTCTGAACCGCCTTCTGGCTGCGGGGCTGTCAGTAAACTTCGCAAAGTGCATTTTCGGCGCAGCATCGCAGGAATTCCTCGGCATGATCATCGACAGCACGGGTCTGTACCCCGCTCCGTCTAAGCTAGATGCAATCGCACGCATGCCTCGCCCACACACCGTAGAAGAGCTGCGCACGTTTTTGGGTCTTACCGGTTACTTGCGTCAGTTTGTACCCAACTACAGTTTGACTGCCGCTCCGCTCACCAACATCCTGCGCAACAAAGCCTTCGCTTCGAAACGTGCACGCAAGCTTCCTATCCCGTGGTCCGTAGCTGAGGAAGACGCCTTCCAGTCTTTACGAGAAACGTTGGCTTCCCCGAAGGTCCTCGCTTTCCCTGACCTTGAGCGTCCGTTCGAACTGCACACGGATGCTAGCACGCTGGGTGTAGGAGCTTCGCTTATGCAGACAATCGATGGTGTCACCAGAGCGGTGGCGTTCGCGAGCCACCGGTTTTCACAAACCGATGCTAGACGCGGGCCCACGGAACGAGAATGCATGGGGGTCCTCTGGGCGGTAGACCACTTCCGGCCGTACCTAGCGGGTAGACGGTTCAAACTGGTCACAGACTGTTCTGCCCTCACATGGTTGTTCCGGAGCCGTGAACTCTGCCCCAAGCTGCACAGGTGGGCGCTGCGGCTGATGGAGTACGACATGGAACTGGAATGGAAGGCGGGGGTAGAGCACGTAGTGCCCGATGCTTTGTCCCGGTTGCCTGTGGCGAACCCGGTAGAGGTCGACGTCGACGATTCGTTTCCGGATGATCTGTCGTGTGCTGCAGGCGCTGCGGTAGAGATTTTAGGACCGGAGTTGAAGGGTGTAAGGCTGGCTGAGTTGGACCCTGTGCAGGTAGACCAGGTAGGCGATGCTGACTCCCAACCCTCTCACCCCACTCCGGAGGGGGCCGACTTCCATCTGTCCGCCCTTCGAGCGTTGCCTTTCGCTGCATGTGCGGCTGTAGACCATGAGCCTGATGCCCCCCGCCGCAGCGGCCGGACCCGTACCCCTTCGGTACGATTACGACCGATCGGCGACGCGCAGCTGCCCCCGACAAGTGTGCTGGAGGCCCTCCCGGACAGAGAGGCAATCGGCCCCTCCGCGGTGCAAGCCTCAACTCCAGCGCCGTCGCCATCGACACTGCCGCCGTCCCCCGTTAATCCTGGCCACGACGACATCGGTGAGGTGCTGGCGGCACGGGGGGAGGTTACGACGTCGTCGTCGAGCCACGCGTTGGATGGAGCATCAGCCATCGATCTGACAGCACGAGTGCTCACAAGGCCGTCCGAGCTAGCGCATCGGCAACGAGTCGACACCCATCTGAGTCAGGTTCGCAAGGTTCTGAGCAATGTAGCTGACTCTAGCCAGGGGGGAAGTGAGCGTGACAGGTATAGCCTAGGCACGGATGATGTGATTCGGTACAACGATGGTAAGGGAAGAAAACTGCCTGCTATTCCAGTTGCCATGGTAGCCGACATCATCGCGTTGGTACACACGCTACATGGTCATGCAGGAGTAGGAGCAACGCTGTCCCTTCTGCGCGATCATTTCCACTGGCCCACGATGACGAACGACACTCGACACTATGTGTTGTCGTGCGCCTGTCGTAGACGCAAGAGACCGCCCAGCAGACGAGTAGCCATGATGCCAGGTAGACCGCTTGAGCCGTGGGACGAGTTGCAAATGGACATCCTCAAGATCGATACACCATCGCAAACGGGCAACAACTACGTCTTGCTCGTGGTAGACCGCGCCTCAAAGTTTCCGTTCGGGTTCCCACTCAAGACCAAACAAGCTGTGGGCGTAGCCAGAGTGGTGGTAGAGCTGTGCCTAACTTACGGAGTTCCAAAGACGGTACGCTGCGACGGAGGCCCGGAGTTTGGTGCAGAGGTGGTGAAGCACTTGTGCAGATGGCTGCGGGCAAGCATCGTGTTTGGTGCGGCTGATCACCCTCGAGGCCAAGGGGCGGTAGAGAGACTGGGGGGATGGCTACAGGAGCTGTTGGCTGAGCTGTGTAGATCCTGGCCTGACCGATGGGATGAGTACGTTTCGCCTGCAATGTGGATCAAACGCACCTTGCCAGACACCTCGCTCCCATCTAACATGACCCCCTTCGAGCTCCTGTTCGGCCGCAAGCCTCGTACCTCGCTGGATTCGTTAGTTCCTCTTACTGACGAGATGGATCAGGAACGGGGACTCGACAACTTCGTGGAGAGGCGCAAGCAAAATCTTCGTGAAGTACGACTCGCCCTCGAGAAACGGCAGGAGCTTCGAGTTGCTGCACGCGCGAAAGCCAACGCCTCTATCGAGAGGTCGTCAGCTGGAGTGGGGGTCATGAAGGACAGCCTGGTGCTCGTGCGCGAGTCCGAGAGTAGTCGACATCGCGACCACAGGGGAAGGAAGCTGCAACACGATCTCTACACAGGACCATGGAAAGTGACGGGGATAATCCAGCCTGGTCTCAGTGTAGAAGTCATGATGCATGGTAGAAAGAAGCGTAGCCGAAGGGTATCTACGGCCGATGTGAAACCGTTCCACCTCCGAGAACTTCCTTTCCGACACGCTTTAGCCGAAGAGTTCGCCCAGTATGCGTGGGGACCCGATTTCAAATTACTTCAAGGAGCTAAAGAGAGTTTGGGTCTAGTCACTATCGCCGACTGTCGCAGAGTTCAGCCGGCTTCTGGCATGCGAACTGTTTGGGAGTACAAAGGAAAGTCAGGGAATGGTGTAGTGTCGGACTGGCTGCCGGAAGAGACCATGCGACGCAGTTTCACGCCCCTTCAGTTGGATTGCTTCGTTGCGCTCTGGCATTTATATTTTCCCCAGCTGGCAAACGCTTCTGCACCCGACTCAGTCAAGTCCCGTACCCCGTTGTCCCGCGCCCAAGCCTTGCACGTTTTCCCGATAGGTTTTACCTTCCAGAAGGAGTTAGCCGGAGGTATCCTACTTCAGGGTCAGGTGTATGATTACCTATCCCCCTACTGGCGCGTGCGCTACACTGACGGGAACTGGGAGGAGCTGTCCAGACGCGAACTGGAAAGACTTGCGAGATAGCCTAGGGGGGAGGGATTTCGAGCTAGTATGCTGGCTGGACGGGGGGGATGCGTGGCATTAGTGAGACCGTCTGCGGGTGATCATGGATGTCCGTACAAGGTTTGGTCGTATGTATGTACCATGGATGGTTTTTGACTATTGTTGATGTCTCTCTCTTGTCTCAGTTTTTTTACTATGCATGTCCATTTGATTTCTGAGTACTGTTGACGAGAGTTTCTTTTGTTTTGGTTTTGAACATGTCGTTTGCGGTTTTGAACATGTCCATTTGATTTTTGAGTGCGTCACCCAGTTGATGTTGGGTAAAGCCTAACTGTTCAGAGACCCTACTTGCCAGATGTCCTGATCTGAGTTGCAGTCGAAATGTGTTCCTGTGTATGGTAGCACCCACGAGGGTTTATGTTGTGTGCTAGTCTGATTTGTGGTCGAAGGGTGGTCCTGTGCCCGGTAGCGCCGAAGAGAAGTTTGTGTTGTTGTGCCGTGGCATTTGATTGGGTTTGGTGTTGTAGGTGCTTTGCGCAATGGGTTTTTTCCTGGGTGGCCAAGTTTTTCCCGCGCTGTAGGTGTTGAGAGCCGGACTGCAACTACAGTGAATTCACCAAGCGAGGGACGGTTTTTTGTTAGAGTATTTTACGTCCGAGCGTCACTTGGTGTTTTCGGTTGTTAAGTCTAAATTCTAGGGCTCTCGGGATGGGGAGCGAAGGGTTTGTCCCGGAAGCCGGGTTTTCCTTCGCGCAAGTCGATGTCGGGCCGTGGTTCAACGCGCAGTGAGAATTATGAAGAGGAGTGGATTTTATTTGGGTTTTGCCACACTTAACCTCTTGTAATTTTCGGTTGGACGTTCAGCCTACTCAAAGACATTGCATGGTAGTATTCCAAAAGGAAGTGTGTCACTTTGCGGTTTACACATTTCCTGCTACCGTTTATTAGCATGTGACAGCTGACAAATAGCTGTTCATGCTAATGGGGGGATGTTACGGTTACATGGTTACGGTTGATNGGATGAAGACTCTCTCGTGCAGCAAGCAGCTGACAAGGTGCGGAGTAGTCTGACGGGGACATGCACTCGACGGCGGCTGTGGTTCCCTGACGCGGAGAAGGAGCTGTACAAGATGTTGCTGGCACGACGCAAGAGGAAGCTGCGGGTCTCGACAAGGTGGATCACGGTCACTTTCAAAAAGCTTTATCATGGAAGGTACCGGCAAGATCCACGAGCAAAGGCATTCCGGCCGTCCTTCCGGTTCGCGCAAANACTCTCTCGTGCAGCATGCAGCTGACAAGGTGCGGAGTAGTCTGATGGCGTTATGCACTCGACGGCGGCTGTGGTTCCCTGACGCGGAGAGGGAGCTGTACAAGATGTTGCTGGCACAACGCAAGAGGAAGCTGCGGGTCTCGACAAGGTGGATCACGGTCACTTTCAAAAAGCTTTATCATGGAAGGTACCGGCAAGATCCACGAGCAAAGGCATTCCGGCCGTCCTTCCGGTTCGCGCAAAACAAGTGGACGACGAGGCACTCGCTGTCTAAGCGGCGGCGGTCTAACTCCAAGAACAAGTCTGTGGAGGAGAGACTGCCGAACATTTCGCTTCTAGGGAGTGGCCTTACGTGCAGCCGTCGGTAGTGAGAATCGGGGTTGAGTACGGGGGTCGAGAAAAGCAGTGCAAATCATTTGTATATTTGGAACGTTGTGTATGCAAGCAGAGAAATATGAAATTGCCGATTTAAAAAAATTCAGCAGGATTTGGCTGCACGAAATGTAAGAAACTTGAAATAAGAAACTGAACGACATACATACATACGCTGAGTTTATCGCCCACAAAAAGAATTCGAGGCTGGACCTGAAATAAGCGTTTCTTAACTGCGGGCGCCAACTGTAGTAGTAACCGTTGGCTGGGTCTGAACGGAGAAACCACACCCATCCGGATGAGATCCGGAGGTAGTTTTGGACCAGGCGGCCTTTGTGTTCGTCGTCCGGAAAGAACAAAGAAAGCACTCTCGGAGTAAAAAAAGTGGGTTGGGAGTCACTGCTGCTGTTGCTCCTGTATTTTACCGCACCGGAGAGGAAGGGACGGTTGGTCATGGATTTACTGCTGTAGATCCTGTTCGCCCGATTCTGCCCAAATAATTGCTTCATTGTGGACAAAGTTACATCGGAGTATTGTATTGTAGCCTACTCATAAGACGTTGACGTACGTCGGGGTCGTTGCATCCCCCCGGACTAATACGTGGTGTAATCCCTGGTCTTGGAGCAAACTCGAGATGGATGGATATATATAGGTCTATATTGCATGGTTTCCGATTGAGACGCATCCATCCTTAATCGTATTTGCGGGGTGCGCGGTGTATCTCACCATTCATTTCTTCCGTCCCGCCTAGGCTGCTATCAAGTCTACCATTCGATGGACAGCCGTCATTTTCGCACACAGCAGCACTGCCTTTCTGTTATTAGCATACGACCTCCTCATGCAACCTCACTCAACGTGTCGCAGAATGAAAAATACGGATAGGTGGATCAGATTGACTACTGAAGCTCTGCGATGGTAGCGTACGATGGCCCCTCGACCACCTCGTACAACCCCACACACGCGGCCATGTGTTACGTACCGTGTATCGCGATGATCGAATAACTTTTGTGCCACACGATGCTCCCTCCCGTGCCTTGTCTGTCCATGTCACGTTAGCCAAGTCCAATCGAAGCACGAGTCCACGAAAAACGCACCCGTATGACGATAGCATCCATCGGATTTGTTGTGTGGTCTTCCTACTATTGTCAAGTCACGATGTACGCTTGTCGGGCCCGGATTCGTCCATAATATTTGCACATTTGTCAGCCAATCGGCGGTTCGGACACGAATAAATTAGATTGCCGACGATTCGAGTGTCCAGAACATTTTTGGAGCCATGATTACAGGAGCCTCGCGTTGTACCGCACACACACACCAGCACACCACCCAATGCAGTCAGGAAACCCGTTGTTGTTGTCTTACATTTGAAATCTGTTTGTTCCGGTCTCTGCTCAGTACCTTCTAATGTCCGTACCAGTGCGCCGGATGCAGACACCTTCCGTCGTCGCAGGCCAACCACTCCAAAAAGTGTTTCCACACATTATTTCTAGCAATAGCAATCAACTCCCAGAAACATCCATGGACCCAGAAAATCCTCAAATGCGGTGAAAGCAGATTACAAAACCTAACCGCGAGACTACTAGCGAACCCGGAATGCAATGAAACAGGAAGGTCCCAACCAACCACGACTGAGAGTCCATCGCTCCCGCTGGGCACGCGATGCCGAGCAAAAGAAAACAGTACTCCGGAATGCAAAATTAACAATCAAAGATCACCAATCAAGACATAAGAAAAACAAGAAGAGCCGGATCCTATCCTTGCACCCCTACTCTCATCGGTCAAGCCATTTTCCACACGCACCCCTTCCCCCCAACAAACAAAAGGGTGATGCCGGGAAGAATGCTTACGGTCTAAGGACGCAAAAGCCCGTGGGTGGGGAGAGTCACCTCTCAACAGAGCGTGAAAACTACTGGTCTGTGTACGGTCGTTTAGTGACTCTTTAGGTCTGACGGGATGTTAAACCGTAGCTCCGCACACGAGATGTGTCACACACCGTGGCCGACCCAACCCGACCCAACCCAACTCTAAGGCTAACCCTCACCCACGGCCAACGCATGGCCTGGCGGCTTCGGCTGCTTAAGCCACAGCAGCAGCAGCCTTCGCCTTGAGGATGACCCGTAGCTTGTCCTTCGGCGCGTTAGCGGGCGGAGAGCCACTGAAGCTCTGAAGGCGAAGATATGCACGAAGCAAGCAAGCGAAACCGCACATCCGATTATTGCAGGACGTTTCGGCCAACATCAGTTCGAAACACGACGAAGGTCCTGTTTGCGACACGAAAGTAGCTTTGTCAGGGTGTGTAGCTCTCAACACTCACAGATGATGGAAATATATACCCAGGTCGGTCAAGCAGGAATTTTTTCTTCACTCGCCGCATGGATGAACCCACGAGGCACTGTGCATACGTTGCACATTTGTTGTTTTACGCCCAAAGGATGGGGGTCGTAACCAACCGCACCTGCCCCTCCACGACCTCAAAGTCGAACTTGGGCAGGAATGTCTTCATGAAGAGTATCATCTCGAGTTTCGCTAGCTCTCGGCCGGGGCACATGTGCTTCCCGAAGCCCCACATCGGAGGGATCGGTTGCCCTGACCGCCTGGCACCAGTACCAGGCGAGGCCGCGCTGTCTGTATCCTTCTTTTCGCCTCCATGCAGGAAACGGAACGGACAAAACCTGAGAGAAGCCCAGTGCACAGATTGCCGTAGGAGGGATAGACACGCGAATAGGGCCAAGGATCGGTGGCAAGAGGAGAAGACCGCCTCAAGCTAACAAGCAACGTAAGATCGATCTTGGAGCAATATCCAGCACGGAAGCTTCGTCCGACCCTTACCATGGCGTAGATCGCTTCAGCGTGTTGCAGACAAACCGCACGAGTGTTTTTGCGGGTTGCCCCGTGGTACCGTTGAACCTCTGCAAGGCCAACGTGACACTCTCCAAGTCGCACGTCCATTGCTTGAACTTACAAATTGTTGCTAAAAAGGGAAATGATATGGGTTGACAACAATGAACGTAGCCAATTGCAGAGCAACTTGTCTGCGTGACCTCTATCGGATCTCCTTGCCAGGGAGGGGAACTCCGTAGGGTAAGGTTACCACGAGTCGCGGTGTCATGGTGATACACGAGACGAAGGAGGTGGGAACAGCGATTTGCAGCAAGTCTGTCACCTGACGACCACAGCAAACTTACCTTAAGAATGGCAACTTTACAGATGGGTGGAGCTACGCGTCAAACTTGGTGCACATTTTCAGGGTACTAGAGGGGGATTGCACCCTCCTGCGTGACCACAGGGTGGAGTAAACGGCACAAATGCTGCGAACGCTGGTTGTAAGACAAGACAACAACAAAAAAAACGACCGACGGAAGGATGCGGGCTGCTTTTTTCCAATGCTCGGCGATCGTGTTCGTGTTTTCTCACTGCCTCGGCTCCGGGTAGAGGGTCTCGGCAAGTGAACCCTGGGTGAGATTCCAGCTAATCGTTTCCCCCTCAGGAATGAGGTATCCGTTGTAGCTGATGTCCTTCCGCGTGGTGCGGAACACAGAGCCGACCGCGGGATGCAACCTTCATGGGTGATTCCCGGAGTCACGTACCCGACGGCGAAAAATCAGAGCAAGCACGGGACACACATTGGCAGGAATCGAGAAATCATCGTGGGCCTGCGGCAGATTTCCGAGGCATCCTCAAGAACGTGCGACCGGACGACTTCCATACAAAGCAAAACAACGCCTTTCAAACGTTCAGAAAGGCGTCACCGCTGAAACCTTTGTAGCAAAAAAATTGAGGGTAATTGCTTTTCCAACTACAATGAATCGAACAGTGTCTTATCAGGTTTCCACGCAGGGAAACAAGAAGGGGTGCCTCGGGTCAACGAAAAAGGACGAGTGAGCGGGTACCTGTATCTACCTTCGGTACAACGGCTCACCGATTGGCCTCAAGGACTACGGCATTGAGCAGCGGAAACGATGTAATCAATACGGCCCCCGGCAGGCCGGCGGCGGTGAATTCTTCGCAATCGCCATTATCAACCGTTGCGGCCTCGCTGAGCTCGTCGGTGAGCTGGTCCATTATCTCTTTGCCGTCCTCAGCAGTCCCGAGGAGCTGCAGCATACGCGTGAGGGTCGCCGAAGTGGTGTCCTTCCCCGCAAACAAAATAGTGATGACCTATTCGGACAATCAAGAGCGCAAACAACGGTCACAGAATTGCCAAAATCGGACACTAACAAACCAGAAGTGGCCTCTGCCTGTACACGCGGCCTACGATGGAAGCGGTGTGAAAATTCCATAAAACATTGATTCAAGGCTCGGGAGCGTTCACTCAGCACTGTACGCAGAGACAAGGAAGAGGTTCCTGTTATTGACAAGTTTGTCGCGGCCCGTACGTTGTCAATGATGAAGTCGTCGTCGAAGAAAAAGCTGCCTTCTTCGGCGTCCATCTGGTACTGTTTCTCGAGTTCGAAGAACAAATCCAGAATGCCGCCGCTGTTGCTAGCGCCCATTCCAGCAGCAACATCCGCGCGGCGCCTTTGTATCAATTCACGAACGACGCCTTTGTACTCTTGTCTAGCATCCATGGAGCTTCCGAACGCGAAAGGCGGGAGCTTATTTAGAGGCGGCGGGAACTTGTACGGAAAGCTAAAAAGTCCCGTCAAAAGGGCAGGGAGGAGGCGCTTCGTGTCTTGCATGAAGTTGGGAGTGGCGTATTCACCGAAGAGCCCCGCCGCGATCGACTCCAGGGTGAAGTCCGTGATGTCGTCCTGAATTTCCACCTCCTGTCGCGGACAAAGTACGTGTTGAAAGCACGATGACCGCTAAACCTCGGGCAACAAGTTGCACGATGACCACTAGACTGGCAGTCAGCGCTGACTAGTAGCCTAGTGGTCAACGTGCTTGTCAACATTAAGCACAGAGATTGCTGTGTCACGGGAAAGACCTCACGAAAAACCACCGTTCTCGCGCACCAAGCTGTGCCCGACGTACTGTTGAGGGCTTGCTCGAAATTTGAAACCCGATTTCTGGACTACAGCAGCACGGAACACGCCGGTGGGCGGCGCCGGTCAACCTCCCATTGCTCCAAACACCCTCGACAGGAACAGCAGCCATCCTCGAAATACGAGTAACCCATGGTTAAAAACATCTGCGTACAGCAGTACTGGCCCAATCGAGGATATCGCTGACTTGGCAACAAGTACCCTCCCATTAAGCCTTGAAATAAGTCGATCAAAATAACAAAAACTAACCTGTCCTGTTTTGGCGTACTCTTCCCATCGAAGAACCACCTTCTGAAGAGCAGATTCCAGGATTGGCTGTAGCTTGATGATAGATTTAGCGGACAGAGCTTCATTGAAAACCCTTCTGCCGATTGCGTGCGCCTCCTCCTGCGTGCCGAGGCTGCTGATCGACTTTTCTCCTGCTCCGACCGGCATCGAACCGGGCGGTGGGCGCGCGGGATCTGGATCGTTTCAATAGCTGGAGCGGTTAGTAGAACGTTACTTTTTTTCTCCAACTCGACGACGTTTGTTTAAAATCATAGGCCTCAAGCACGTCGCCGGTAGCAATGGTGATAGAACCAACGGTTCGCAACGCACAACCGATGAAAGAGGGCCCTTCTTCTCGTCGAAGGTCTCACCCAAGAGCTGGACAACACTCTTCATCCAACTTTGGTAGACGTTTCCAGCTGCTTCCTCCTTTGTTATCCACTTCGTGCCTCGCTGTGCAGCAACAACCTATTGCACATAAAATCGAGAAAGAAGATGCATTGAAGAGGAATACGGAATGAGAGTAACTCCAGTGGCTTGTCGCAGTCGATGCCGATACAAAGAGGTTAAGTTGCCTCATCCCTCAGATATACCCTATAACCGAACCCTGTGACGAAACATCCACACGTTGTTTCAGGCTCTGAAGAAACAAATACAGTTGCGTCGCTGTCAACAAGATTTTAGGGCGCCAAAACACCCAATGAGCTCCGGCCTTGTTCTTGACCTAACCTGGATGTATGTGCGTGCCTCACCAATAACGTATACCGTTCAACAGAATATTCTCAGTCGAGGAGGGTCGTGCCACGCGAAGTTAGACTCTTGGACCGACGGTCAATCTTGCACCATTGTCAACTGCTTTAAAAGTCACATTTACGCAGTCTACCGCTCAACGCACCCCGCAAACCAATTCCACAACTCCAAATTGAAGACAAAACAGGCCACGTGACGGGTGCCCAACGTCATGGTATCAGGTTCTTTGGGTTTGGAGAAGTTCCGATCTTAACCCCTACCAAAGTACACTAGGGATTCGTTGCATGTGCAGGTCCTCACGTTGGGTGCCGACAGATACCCAAAGCGCCTCGTCTAACGTGAAAAAAAATATCGAGAGATAAAGACAGAGACAAAGAACCTGCCAAACACAAGCACGCCATGTGCACCGCCACACCCTACTTGTACGTGTAGACCTAGTTACCTATGATCATGCTAAATATCAAACATGTCGGATGGACGTCGTTGCGTGTAACAGAATCAATGCCAAAGATCCAAACGGACACTGGTACCGATACAGGTTGTTGTGGAGGTATGAGCCGTTTAGTTAGAACAGGAGTGCAAGATAGGCACCAGGATGCCGCATTCAGCACCGCCGCCGTAGAATAGCACCAGTGAGCTGCTGTGTGTATATATCTGGGCATCGCGTCGGTCGGAGAAATAATACCGGGTGCCTTGAAACGATACCAATATCTTGAAGGAACATGTAAACTTTACTGTAGTTGTCTTCCGCACCGGGGTCGGAGAGGAGATGGCACCGGTCGGAGAGGTTGCACCGGCGGGGGGGGGAGGGACGTACTCTTTATGTTTTGCATGCCTTAGCGGTTAGACCATTGCCCACGCGTCCTCGAGAGGACGGAGCATTGTTCCCACAGGACGGATCACCGATGGCCAATCGCTCCTTGCTACTTTACCGAAGGTGGCTCAAAGTATGTCTTCCCTAGTCTGTCTATCCTAACGATATCCCTTCCCGCCATTTCAAACCACTTCCTACTCCCGATTACAGCTACCGTACTCCCCTCTCTACCCCTTGCCTCAAACATCTCCTTGAACCTCCCTTGTATTCTTCCCAGCTCAGTCATGTGCACTTCCCTCTCCTCTTCGAACAGCTGACATTCCGCGACTACATGAACACGGTCTTCGCATTCGAAGCCGCAATCACATTTGAACTTGTCGTCTTCGTCGTCTACCGTCCTATGTCTTCGTCGACGTTCTCGAAGGCCTATGTCCCCGGTCCTGAATTTGACCTTAAGCTTTGTCTCTGCATTCATTGGTCCATGTAGGTAATCCTGAACCCTATGCCTTCCTTCAACATTCCGTACACTTCTAGACCCTCCTTATCCTTGGATTCTTCCTTAGATTATGTTCTTCTCTCTCGGCACAAGCAACAGATATCTTCTTCTTGAACCCCTGTAGACCCTCCGTTTCCAGCGTTTCATCTTCGTCGATGTCGAGCCCCTTCCATACNTCCATGTAGGTAATCCTGAACCCTATGCCTTCCTTCAACATTCCGTACACTTCTAGACCCTCCTTATCCTTGGATTCTTCCTTAGATTATGTTCTTCTCTCTCGGCACAAGCAACAGATATCTTCTTCTTGAACCCCTGTAGACCTTCCGTTTCCAGCGTTTCATCTTCGTCGATGTCGAACCCCCTCAAACGTCCTCTACAACCTTGACCCATTCTGTGGGATGTCCACCCCTCTTTTGTTTGCCGACTTCGCCTCCCATACAATTCTCGGGAACCTCGCCTCTCCCACCCCGCACATGCGATACTGCCATGTCAGCTTCCTTGCGTCTCTTCCCGACCGTAGGGATTGGATCCNCGTTTCATCTTCGTCGATGTCGAACCCCCTCAAACGTCCTCTACAACCTTGACCCATTCTGTGGGATGTCCACCCCTCTTTTGTTTGCCGACTTCGCCTCCCATACAATTCTCGGGAACCTCGCCTCTCCCACCCCGCACATGCGATACTGCCATGTCAGCTTCCTTGCGTCTCTCCCCGACCGCAGGGATTGGATACCCAACTCTGCCCTGACGGTTGCGTTACTTGTGCGCTTGGAGCATCCTACGATGATTCTCGCTGCTTTCATCGGCACCGCCTCGAGTTCTTTCATACCTTCTTATTTCCTTCCCATACTTCTCCAGCGTACTCTAGTGGCGGTACGATTACGCTCTTCAAAANGTTCTTTCATACCTTCTTATTTCCTTCCCATACTTCTCCAGCGTACTCTAGTGGCGGTACGATTACGCTCATCAAAACTGTCAATTTGATGCGTATCGAGGTGCCGGTTTGCGAGTATTGGGTGCAGCTTCCCTGCTCGTGCTTGCCCTTTGCCGCCACCTTGGACATGTGTGCATTCCAAGAGCAGTCTATTGCGATCTCCACTCCGAGGTATGTGTATTGATCCACTACTGCAATCTCCTCGATCCCCCAATCCATCTATGGTCTACTAGTTCCTCCCTGTCCTCGTTGCATACCATGACGGCACTCTCCTTAACGTTGGCAGACAATCTCCACTTATCAGTAAACTTCTTCGCCGCGTCAATTTGCAGTTGCAGTCTCTCAGGGATGTCCGACATACCAACAAAATCATCCGCAAACAGCATTCCTGACACCGAAGCCTCCGTGTCTCCTACTTTTACTCCCTTCCGGACTGCCTCTACGACTTTCAACAGATCGTCGATGAACACCTGGAACAATATTGGGGACAACGTGCAACCTCTACGACTTTCAACAAATCGTTGATGAACACCTGGAACAATGTTGGGGACAGCGTGCAACCTGATGGGACCCCCTGCTCAATGTCGAAACATTTAGACAGTTCCTCGTCTAGCACGACCGCGCTTTTCGTACACTCTGTCATCTTCTTCAGCACTCTCCACATTTTCCCCTTGATCCCGTATTTGGACAGTTGTTTCCACAACCCATTTCTCCATACGGTGTCGTATGCCTTTTTCACGTCCAGGAA